AAGGATAATTAATGGGTGGGAAGGGAGCTTGTCCAGGTCTCTGTGGATGTCCCCATGCTCCGGGATTGTCCCTTGGTGTCACCTGCAAATCTCCCTTGACCCCTTGGTTTCCATCATTAACGAGCACATTAATTAACGCCGGCCCTGACAGGGAGCCCTGGGCACTGATGTCCATCAGACCCTGGGCTGGTGCCCACGTCCCTGTGGGTGGGACCATCCCACCCATTCCTGATCCATGATCCCACCCATTCCTCATCCATGATCCCACCAATCCCTCATCCATGATCCCACCAATTCCTCATCCACCATCCCATCAATTCCTGATCCATCATCCCACCAATCCCTCATCCATGATCCCACCAATCCCTCATCCATGATCCCACCAATTCCTCATCCACCATCCCACCAATCCCTGATCCATGATCCCACCAATTCCTGATCCATGATCCCACCAATCCCTCATCCATGATCCCACCCATTCCTGATCCATGATCCCACCAATCCCTCATCCACCATCCCACCAATTCCTCATCCATCATCCCACCAATTCCTCATCCATGATCCCACCAATCCCTCATCCATGATCCCACCAATTCCTCATCCATGATCCCACCAATTCCTGATCCATGATCCCACCAATTCCTGATCCATGATCCCACCAATTCCTGATCCATCATCCCACCCATTCCTGATCCACCATCCCACCCATTCCTCATCCATGATCCTACCAATTCCTGATCCATGATCCCACCAATTCCTCATCCATGATCCCACCAATTCCTCATCCATGATCCCACCAATCCCTCATCCATGATCCCACCAATTCCTGATCCATGATCCCACCAATCCCTCATCCACCATCCCACCAATTCCTCATCCATGATCCCACCAATCCCTCATCCATGATCCCACCAATCCCTCATCCATGATCCCACCAATCCCTCATCCATGATCCCATCCATTCCTGATCCATGATCCCACCAATCCCTCATCCATGATCCCACCAATTCCTCATCCATGATCCCACCAATTCCTCATCCATGATCCCACCAATCCCTCATCCATCATCCCACCCATTCCTCATCCATGATCCCACCAATCCCTCATCCACCATCCCACCAATTCCTCATCCATCATCCCACCCATTCCTCATCCACGATTCCACAAATTCCTGTTCATCAACTGTCCACCCATTAATTAATTGTCCCCCATTAAACCCAACTCCAGCCACAAAAACCTCACAGAATCCCAAAAATCAGGACCTAAAACCTCGGGGAGGACCCCAGTCGTGGCCCAACCCTCCTAAAAACGGGATTTTTGTTCCTGGAGTTCTTTGCCTCCACCCAAACCCGGCAGCTCCCGTTTCCCCTCATTTCTGGGGAAGGATCTGGCAGAATTTGGTTCTTTGCTCACCTTGGTGGGGAAGTAGCGGCTGAATTTGAACTTTTTCAGGGTCAGGGTCATGGAGTAGGTGCCGAAGAAGAGGATGAAGGACATGAGGGCCAGGTCGGGCACGAATTTGCAGGATTTTCCCACTAAGCTGCCGCCGTATTTGAGACATTCCTTCTTACTCAGCTGGGTCCAGTCCAGAGCTGTGAGGTTGAGAGCATTGGACTGGCGAGAGACCCCGAAAAAAGCCAAATTAGTAAAATTTGGGATTATTGTGGCGTGCAGGGAAAGGGGGAATTTCAGCCCAAATCCAGCAAAACTGGCATTTTTAAGGTGCTGAGTGGAAAGAAAGGGGAATTTCCTCTCCAAACCCCAAATTTTGTACTTTTAGGATCACACTGTGCAAGAAAAGGGAAATTTCCTTTCCAGACCCCCAAATTTGTACTTTTAGCATCACACTGTGCAAGAAAAGGGAAATTTCCTTTCCAGACCCCCAAATTTGTACTTTTAGGATCACACGGTGCAAGAAAATGAAAATTTCCTCTCCAAACCCCAAATTTTGTACTTTTAGGATCACACTGTGCAAGAAAAGGAAAATTTCCTTTCCAGACCCCAAATTTTGTACTTTTAGGATCACACTGTGCAAGAAAAGGAAAATTTCCTCTCCAAACCCCAAATTTTGTACTTTTAGGATCACACTGTGCAAGAAAAGGAAAATTTCCTCTCCAAACCCCAAATTTTAGAATCACATTGTCCAAGAAAAGGGAAATTTCCTTTCCAAACCCCCAATTTTGTACTTTTAGCATCACATTGCCCAAGAAAAGGGAAATTTCCTCTCCAAACCCCAAATTTGTACTTTTAGGATCACACTGTGCAAGAAAAGGGAAATTTCCTTTCCAGACCCCCAAATTTGTACTTTTAGCATCAAATTGCCCAAGAAAAGGGAAATTTCCTTTCCAGACCCCCAAATTTGTACTTTTAGCATCACATTGTCCAAGAAAACTGTAATTTCCTTTCCAAACCCCCAAATTTGTACTTTTAGGATCACACTGTGCAAGAAAAGGAAAATTTCCTTTCCAGACCCCCAAATTTTGTACTTTTAGCATCACATTGTCCAAGAAAAGGAAGATTTCCTTTCCAATCCCCCAAATTTGTACTTTTAGGATCACTCTGTGCAAGAAAAGGGAAATTTCCTGTCCAGACCCCCAAATTTGTACTTTTAGGATCACATTGTCCAAGAAAAGGGAAATTTCCTTTCCAAACCCCCAATTTTGTACTTTTAGGAGCACACTGTGCAAGAAAAGGGGAATTTCCTCTCCAAACCCCCAAATTTGTACTTTTAGGAGCACACTGTGCAAGAAAAGGAAAATTTCCTCTCCAAACCTCAAATTTTAGCATCACATTGTCCAAGAAAAGGGGAATTTCCTCTCCAAACCCCCAAATTTCTACTTTTAGCATCACATTGCCCAAGAAAAGGGAAATTTCCTTTCCAGACCCCCAAATTTGTACTTTTAGCATCCCATTGCCCAAGAAAAGGGAAATTTAAGGGAAATTTCCTTTCCAAATCCCAAATTTGTACTTTTAGCATCCCATTGCCCAAGAAAAGGGAAATTTCCTCTCCAAACCCCCAAATTTGTACTTTTAGCATCACTCTGTGCAAGAAAAGGGAAATTTCCTTTCCAGACCCCAAATTTGTACTTTTAGCATCAAATTGCCCAAGAAAAGGAAAATTTCCTCTCCAAACCCCAAATTTTGTACTTTTAGTATCACATTGCCCAAGAAAAGGAAAATTTCCTCTCCAAACCCCAAATTTTGGCATCAAATTGCCCAAGAAAAGGAAAATTTCCTTTCCAAATCCCAAATTTGTACTTTTAGCATCCCATTGCCCAAGAAAAGGGAAATTTCACGACCCAACTGAGCAAAACCGGCTCTTTTAAACAACAGCAGCTCGCCAAAAAAAGGACATTTCCTGCTCAAACCCCCCAGTTAGAAGCACGTGAGCTGCTGCAGCACCCCGAGTGGATTTGCAGAGTTTTGGGGACACCCAAAACCACAGGAATTTCCCCGGAACGAGCGGGTCCCGGCGCTTACCAGAGAGGCGTTAGTGCTGTTCGGAGCCGCCGGAGCTGCAGCGTCCAACGAGGTGCCGTTGGCTGCGGGAGAGGAGTCGGTCACTGAGGTTTTGGGCTTAAACCCCACATTTTTGGGAGCTTTAGGGCAGCGCCACGTGCCCAGCCCGGCGGGGCTTCAGCATCCCGGATTTTTGGGGGGAAATCCCCCCATTTCTAACGTCTCCCCGGTTAATCCCACGCGCCGGGGAGGATGCGGCGGCTTCTCCCTGCGGGGCTGGTGGGGTTTTTTGGGAGCTTCCCATTCCTAAAATTTCCAAGAGCTTCCCATTCCTAA